GAGTGGGGATGATGATAGATGGTGGGGGGGGTGGGAATGGTAATGGAGATGGGTATGCGGATGGACGGATGGATGGATGGATGGATGGATGGATGGATAGATGGGTGAATGGTTGGATGGATGGATGGATAAATGCATTTATAAATTAATAAATAAATGAATGAATGAATGAATGAATGAATGAATAAATGAATGAATGAATAGACGAGAGTGAGAGAAAGAGAAAGAAAGAGAGAGAAAGAGAAATAGAAGGGGAGAAATAAGTTTGTTGTTTGAAGAAGATGGGAATGTGGGCAACACGGTGACCGTGTGGATTGAATCTGTCTCGACTGCAGCTTTATTTGCACGAGCGTTCTGGTTCCACGTCAAGACAAAATCAATCGAGAGCAGCGTTAAGCGGATTGCTTGACCTCAACTTAACTCGAACGAGATTAGAGATCGTGTAGACGAAAGGCCGTGTCCAAAGAAACCGCTGCTCTTCGCGTTCCGGAGGAAACGCCAGATCACGTGACAGCAGATGCATTCATCGACGTGACATCATGCAATGTACATGCTCTGTACGTTCGAATTTCATTTCTATTTCCTTGTATAGACGCTTCTGTATCACTGCTCCCCAATTCGAAATCTTTGTATTAAGAATCGACGAACATAACCGTAACAGCAAGGCAATAACCTCGCTGCTCCCTGATTATAATTCATCTGCACGTTATCATCAACGAGGAAGAACCTCCTAACTGGCTCAGACGGAGCAATCTATCTATCTACATGTAGTGGGCGACTCGCACGAGACTAACTCCGGACCTAGTAGAATCAAAATGTTATGGAAATGATGCTCGCTTGGGCCTCGTACAGACCTCTACACTACACCTCTATTGCGACCATAGAAATAATATACTAGTTAGACTAGAACGCTGATTGTGTCTCTATATATTTCTATGATTGAGACCTACTCGATAGCGTTTAACCTGATTGCTTAAACTTCCAGAATCCAAAGCCTTCTATAAATGCAATCGTCCGCTTTTTTCACCACAATTTGTGCGGTGTTGCGAATTAGTCGGCATACTTTCGTTGATTATTGAATTTCGTAATATTGTTTCGCCTGCATTATTGTCATTGCTGGTTTGTCTCGGTAATGTTTTTCCACAATGTAATCGCATATACCATCGCTAATTAAATACGGCTGTTGTAAATCAATGTTTGCGTCGTCGTTGCCGTGTTGACGATGTAATTAGTGGCGCTGTCATCGTCATCGTCGTCGTCGGTGCGTTCACCATTTCTCTTGTCTTTGTTCTTTGTCTTTACGATAATTACCATGCGCATAATTAATCCGGCATGTCTTATTCGCCAGGGCAGTGATTACCATCAGGGGTGAATAATGGCAGATGTTCTGTTATGCGACAATGTTTATTGCGACAATGATTTATTATGCGACAATTTGTCATTATTCACTCCTGATACCATCCATGCAACAACGATCTCATATTTCGGTCAGTTTCTCCCCTGCCTCGCATCTACTTCTATTCAGACGAACCACTGGCACTAGTCCTATTCCAATAAGAAAGTGATAGTAAATGAATACGAAATAAATTTGCCGTAAGCTTTTATGTTTATGTATTTCATATCGCCTAATAATTCTACTTGAACCTTGTGTCAATTCTCCATCCCAATATACGCTATCGAGACACGTGCACAGAAACACTATAAATATGTGTGCATTGCGCATATATATACGCTATAGAATCTATCTACATATATGTATATTGTTTGTATCTATGCACAAATTGTTGTATGTAGGTATAGGTAACGTAGATAATCAGTTGTGAAGATTTCAAGTAGAATTATTAGGCGAGATAGAATACATAAACATTAAAATTGGCAGTAGCCTAAATGAAATTGAATTGAAATAATTTGAATTTACTTGCTACCGCATTATAATTATTACTGGAATAAACCGAGTGCCCATAGGAAAGGCGCCTGCTGGCTATGTCTTACCTGTAACAGAGCACGAACAGTCCACATAAGAACAATACGGCGATGGCCAACGCGACCACGCATGCGCTGTAGACGGCCGAGTCGGCCTTGGTGGCGATCGGCAGCGATCCTCTAGCGAGGCACGGCGGGGGCGGGTCGGCGTCGGGGAACAAGCACGAGAAGTCCGGCGGGGGTGGAAGACGAAACTCGGGCGGCGGCGGCAGCTCCAGGCAGCCCTCGTCACACATGTCTTCGTCGGAGCCCTGCGAGAGAATGAATCGGAGAATGAACCAGCGTGCGCGATTTCTCAATATATGTAACCTCGTCTCTTGTCATATTTTCTGACTCTCTTTCACTCCTGCTACTTACGCTATCTATCTCTCCCTCTGGATCTATCTTTCTCTCTCAATCTCTCTGAGCTCTCTCTCAATATATATATATATATATATATATATAGAGAGAGAGATAGAGGAGAGATCAATGCGGTGAGTTACAGACATCGTGCCTGTGCTACCTGCTTATGTGATGATTGCCAAGCGACCTGTCTATTCTTCCTCCGCCTATCTCCCCCGGCT